TGTGTGGGGGGGCGGGTGGAGGGGGCCACAAGCCTCGTGATTGACAGCCCGAAATCTGATCTTGTGAAAGAGACGTGGAGCCAATAGGAGGCAGCGATCCATCAGTTTGCATTGGAGGCCCCTGGAGGAGAAGTAGAGGAAAAACCACCGAATTGAGCTCTGTCAGAGGCGCTTTCGGCTTCCAAGGGGAAGTGCTGGGCGATAATTAATGTTTTTATTAAATTTGGAGGGAATTTTTTGCAGCCGTTCGCCTAGCGTGGCCTTCAGGTGGGTCTTTCCAAAAACTTTTTATGTCTCTCCAGATAATTGCATGGTTGTGGGTTGCAAAAACTATCCTTATGAAAGAGGTGTCTCCCTCTCTTTAGTCCCGTTAGGTGCAAAGCAAGTCTCGTTGATCGCCATTGCTAGTTTTGCACTCGTTTGCGAATCAGAGCTGCCCGGGGTACACCGACGCGCAGGGAAACATCGAGAGTGTAAATAAAATACATCGCCTCCGGTTCGGATTTTTGCTACTACCGAAAATATGTAAATTGTGAACTCTCTTGGCTCTCTTTGGATCCAGGTGAAGGAGGCGGTGTAGGGAGGATTATTTTTGTGAATGGGACTGTCGGAGGGTAATTAGCTATGCAAATTCAAGAGCTTCATTCATGATTTTTTTTTTTAAAAGCCTAAAGCCATCTTGTTCCCCTCTAGGTTGATAGAAGTCCAGATCCCGAGGAAATCTCCAGATAAATGCTCAAAATATAAAATACTGAGCTAATATTTGCGAAGAGCAGCAGAATGGATGGATTTTATGACCAGCAAGTGCCTTACATGGTCACCAATGTGAGTGATCAGTTCGAAAGTTGCTGTTTATAAACTTGACTCCGACGGGGGGGGGGAGAAGGGAGGGGTAGGGGGGTTGGGATTGCAGATACTTTATCTGCTTTGTTGCCACTGTAGGGCGACTCTGCTTCTAGAAGCCCAATCTGCAAAATGAGCTTACCTTTCAGTGATTCGGATAAGGCATAGTTTTGCTTTTAAGATCCCTTTTTCTGATTAAAGTGCCCAGGATGAGTGGAAGGGCAGCAGCAGCTGCTGAACTCAAAGTTTGTGGCTGGGTTTGTCTGCCACATTGAAAAGAAAGAAGTTGAGACTAATGCTGACGCTTTTTGTTTACATGGGGTGTTTTGATTTTTGCTATTTTTTTCTCATTTTCTCTCTCACTTGTTTCCATTTCTCCACTCCTTTTGCTCTTATTTTTTGAGGGTGGCTTTCTGAGAGACAGTACAATTCATTGCAGTTTAATCTAGTTCTTATTCAGCTTAAAAACAACTTTAAGTGTTATAGCTTAATGTTGTTTTGATGCTGAAATACCATGAATATATATGACTGATAAACAGTAGTATTAGGATCGGCTCAGGGAAGCAACTCTCCCCCCGCTGTTGAATCTCAGCATAAGCTTTCACTGTCAAATAAAGGCAGAAAATTAATATTAGAGTTGATCTTATAAACTTTTATTTATCTGTTCAGAGAGGATCCAGTAGGATTATGTTATGTATGCCTGTGTACTTTTGTGTGTGACATCTGAGGTTTACATTTTTTAAAAGGATTTTATCTTTCCCTTTGTAGAGTCAGCGTGGGAGAAATGGTAACGAGAAACCAACAAATGTCAGGAAAAGAAAATTCATTAACAGAGATCTGGCTCATGATTCAGAAGGTGAGGTTTGATTCTGAGCTGAATCCCCCTTTTTACCTACATTCTTTACCCTCACTAAGAAAGGAACAACTTCAGTCTTATCTAAAAAATAATAAACTTTGAAGTTACTGAATTTAACCAGGACTTTTACCTGAAGTAGTTTACATAACGTGACAGTTTGCATTAGAGAATATTATATGGTCCTGTCACAAAGTAATGAAAGAAGAAAATAAAAACTCAACAATGACATTTTTCTTTTATTCATTGTTTTGTGTTTATACTTGCCCATAGGGCATATAACAAATCCCATACACTGAGATAACAACTTAAAATATCCAACACAGTAGGACAGAGTAAGATACTATGCACACTGCTTATGTTTTTCTTTCCACTTTATACAAGCTTAATGACATAAACTGCTGTGCTTTTTTCCTCGTCATCTTTATACTAAAATCACATACTATTATCAACATTTTCGTGGGCAAGTTTGATGACTATATGATGCAGTCAGAACATCCTGTTAATAGGCCTTATAGTGTTCACTGAATCATACTTAAGGCCTAATTAATACTTACTATACTATTTGGGAAATTAGGTTGTACATTCCTTTTATGAACTGATGGTCCGAGGCCAATGTATTATACATTATTTCAGCCATATGGGGGCATTCATAATAAATTGAAAGTACTTAGGTTTGTCAAAGTTCACTTTGCAGCTTAAATTAGATGTACTGAATAATACTGAAACTTCCTTAAATCTCATACTTTTAAGGCACCTCCTCTCTCCCTGGTATGACAATATACAGTTTTGGACTAGTTAATAAGCCAGTACCGGGATTATCTGTCTTTGACTTTTATAAATATTTAACATACAAAATTTAATTTGTATTTAAAGTTGTTTTTTTGGTTTTAAGATATTAAGCCTGAAAATAGTACTTTGAGAATTAACCTCTTATAACATGTATGTGAGATTCAGGTGATGTAAATAAAATGCTTTCCAGCCTTTCCAAAATTTCCTCTACTACTGTTTTAGAAAGAGCTGAATATATTTAAGAAAGGTTTCTGTGAATAGCCCGCCTTCACTTCAGCATGTTTTGCAAATTCTAGTTTATTTATTTATTTTAGTACCCTGAGTTTACTTATTAAGCTATTTGTTAAAAAGCAAGAAAAAAAGAAAGATGACTTTGTTATTTGATTGAGTAAAGAATTTCTTGAAGTGTTGCTTAATAGGCATCAAAAGTAGGATTACTGTGTGATATTTATTATGAATACTATTTTTCTATCAACTCCCCTTCCCCAAATTCAATTCATATTTAATTCCAATTTCATAACAAACATTTGCATTTAATTATGCCTAAAGATTTTCAAATCTTACGTTTATGTTTTTGAATTGTTTTTTAGAACTCTTTCAAGATCTAAGTCAGTTGCAGGAAACATGGCTTGCAGAAGGTAAGGCAAAAAAAAAAATGCTTAAAAAGGGGGAAAAGCAACTCTGGAGGGGAAAAAAAAAGTCTTGAACTTGCTGTCTTAATGTTCAGCCCAATTAATTGAGCTCTAAAAGAGCCACCTCATGTGTCATGCATACATTAGAGCCTCTGATGAGTTTGTCTTTGGGGACTCTGGGGCTGCACTACCCAGTGTCATCACAAATTACCAGGAGAAATTGCTTCCAGCTCACAATCACATCTGCTTTTGGCAAGAACTAATGCACCAAGACTTCAAGTTCTAAGCCTCTGTTCAGATTTTAATTGCAATTGATCAGGTTTATATTATTGTACCTCGAGAGACCTCCTAGAGCCAGAACCCGGCTGGCTTGCTGTTTCCTTTAGAGCAGCGCATATCATTATTTGGTGTTCTGGTGGAGGACTTTTCTGATGGCAGAAATTAGTTTCTCTGGGTTCATCAGGACGGGATGCTTCAAGATTTAAGTGCAAGTGTCTTCTTTCCACCTTGCTCACAACACAGAACATTAGGTGTGTATCCAATACTTAGGAAATCTATGAGTTTAAAATAAATCTTCGGGGGATTTAAGGACGTTAAAAATGTTTTCTGTATATTACTATGCATGTTGTGTTTGTTGAAACTGACCTTAGCTATTTTGTCACTTTTATAAGGGTTTATTTAATATAACAAAGAGGCATTTAATGGTATTTTAGACTATTTTTTGATTGAATTTAATGGCGCAACCTACTATATCTCCGACTGTGTGCAACTTTATTTATAGAAACAATGAGATACTGCCTCAGTAAAAGCTTTATACATCTGCAGAAATGTCTAACATTGAGAGATTTTTCTTGGCATCTAAAATTTAGTTTTCCTTTTGGATTGGGCAGAGTAAATGTGAAATGTTAGTTTTATGAATTGTTGTGTAGGAAACAGAAGAGTAAGTAATAGATACTTAAGCACTGAGTATAATTGTGTTACTTGTGTGTTCACATACCAGGAGAAATCTGCAATTTCGGAGACAAATTTTTAAGGTGGTTGAAAGGAAAGAGGGGGTCTCTGAATGGGAACTCAAGTGTTGCTGTGGCTACTTTGAAGAAGACTGATGTTTTATCTGTGGTCTTCTGTGCTGTTGACTAAGTTGCTGTTAGCATGTAAAATAAGTTTCTTTGTTTTGCTGATGTTCTAGTTCTCCAAAGAGCTTTTGCAATCTTTATGAATCTTTTAAGTTAAATAGCTCTCCTGTAGTCCTTGGAAAAGGTGATTTTATTTTTATGTTAAAGAAAGGTAAGTATTAGTGAAAGTTTTAAATATAATTAAAGGTCATTTTGCTTGTCTTTCTACATGAAAGTTATTGCAATTGATTACTTATTATTGCAACATAAGTCATATAGTCAAACGTAACTTTTCATGAAAAAAATTGCAGGGAGGTTCTTGTGTTAACTTTTATCTATTAGTAGAGCTAAATTGGAGGTTGTGAGAATATTATATTTATGAGAGGACTTATTTTCTTATCCAGAATAACTTAAATAGCTATTTTAATTGTTGTGGAAGGTTTGTTAAATCGTAAGATGTTTAAATGCGATTGATTCCAAGTCAGTACACTTGCTGGAAGATTTTGAATGTGCATAGCAACTCTGTTCCTGGGATTTTAAAATGTGGAATCTGCAACAGACTCCAACCATTCTATAATCAGCATATATATAATAACATATATTATATTATATTATATTATATTATATTATATATATTATATATGTATTTTTACTTTTGACTTGTGGATAGCTTGGAAAAGTAATTTGAATAATTTATCTGAGTTTATCTCTTAAAACTCTGAATGGAATCTTCTTACCCATGATTATTAACATATCTGTGAATCAGATCTGCAGATTTAGCTTTATATAAAATCTGGAAAATGACTAATGTATTTGGAGGAGCACAGACTTTAACTTAGGAAAGAATTAATAAGCTTAATTAAATTCAGAAATTAATCTTGAGTGTTTTATTAATACCCAGGTGTGCTACTATTTACAAACTATGGATAAGCTTGCAGTTTAGAATAATTTAAGCATTTTCAAAAATAGTTTACATTAATTTATCCAGTCATGATGTAAGCAAAAAGTTGTTATTGTAATTTTAAAAATCTGATAATGAGAAAACTTTTTCTTCTCCTGTTAATAAAATTCACATTGATTTTTGGTCTTAGTAATGAATATATTATTTGCACTAATATTGTGATGATTTATCCCATCTCTTGAACCATATTAGCTAAGAAAAGATGTCAAAACTGCTCTAGTTTTATTTGCAGTTACATTTGTCTATTTTTCCCCCTCTGGAAATCTAGAAATTAAAACATTGCTAAATCAGAAGACTATGAACCATTTACATATTTCTTTTTGCAATGCTCCACAGCCAGGACAGTGACCATGGAATTTTAAGACATTTTGACTCTTAAAAAAGATCACTGTCAATTATAGAAGCTTCTCCCATGACTTAGAATCCCACTGCAAAGTTAAACAGGTCTAAAAATCTTATTAGACATGAGAATCAAGTTCATTGTAATGTGTCATATGACAATTGTGTTTGTACAAACTCAAGTTCCTAAATATTTGGAAATGATATGTATTAGAATGTTGAAATATTTTCCTGTAATTTTTATATAAATTTGACCAAGTGCAACACCTAGATGAGTCAGGAGTGAATAACTATGAATTATAAAATGTATTTTATCTCTAAGGGAAAGTTGGGAAATAGAAGGCAGGAGTATTCAAGGGTGGGGGGTCCAACAGGTATTTTCAATTCACTAAAATTCTTTCTGAACATCACTTTCATCTTCCAACTTCTAAAAAATCAAACTTAATTCTATATAGGGATTGAAAATATGTTTGTGAGGAATGTAACTTTAAGTTAATATCACTTTCAGAGTACAATCTAAGGTTTATCCTAAATACCACAAGTTAAGGTAACCATTTTATTCTGAAGAAAACTGAAAAGCTAATATTTCCAATGGCATCAGCCGAAAAAGTAGAGAGGATGTTTATTTAAAAGTTTGCTATAGCTACTTGATATTGTAATTTTATTATTCACCATGTTTTATTGATTCTTTGTCTTTTGAGTTAGATTGCTACTGACAGAAAGGCAATTGCAATTATTTGATTCCATAAGTAGTGAGTTCAAGTATCAATCCTATCAGCATCATGGTAACTTCTTGCTTCTTAACCTGTTTTGCATGTTTTAGTTACCTGTGTCCTAAAAAGTCATACTTAAAATGGCTTCTCTTGTATGGGGAGTACAGAAATCCAAAGATAAAAACTGATTTAAGAAGAGATTGCATCCCCCTGAACTTGCTTATTACAGCTTACTAACACAACTTACAGAGAAATAACAAAGTTCAGTATAGGTCTAATGTACATACATAGCTACTTTTGACTGTTATTTTGCTGTGGATCTAAATGTCTTGGAGGTTCCTTTTCATTGATAACCTTGAGGAAAAAGTCAACAGTAATTGGCTGACATCAGGATAGCAATGTTTTCCAGTGGTGTAATAAATCAAGTTTCACATTTGCAGTCAGTTTTATCTCCAAGAACAACCTGTCTGCACTGAAGTTTATAATCACCTCATCCAAACAAGGTTTATTGCCTTTTGGTTTTGTGTAACCTTCCAATATTTATCAAATTAACTTAAAACTAGAGATGTCATTACTTTTCCTCAATTCACTTCAAGCACCAATCCTAAACTTATATTCATTTTTATAATGTCTCTTAAATTAACTAGTGTCACTAGCTGCATATTGCATCCACGATGCACAGTAGTCATAAGACAATTATTTTTTATTTTTTTAAAATTCTGTTTCTTTTTAAAATGGAACATAACATTGGATGTGCACACGCTTTTTTCTTTTTTGCCTATGTGGTGTAGTAAGGAATAAAAACATCACAAACTGCATTATTTTATGTAATTTACACAAACTGGGAGGCAACAATTAAGCATTAAAGAAGTCCATGCCATTTCTTAGAATTGAGTAAAAGTGTATTCACGTATGCGTGTATAGGGAGGCTACCACCTCTCTTTTTGTTATATCAGGAAAAACTATAAAATATGAAAGAGTTCTCTTTTAGATGTGATTTAAAGATAGCAGGTAGAGTAAATACATTTTCCTGCTAAAAATTCATTGGGAATATGTAAATGTTTTCTCATCTTTAGTCTACTTACAAAATAGAAAACAAATTTAAATAAAAAATTGGATTTGATTAACACAGTCTAGTTTTTCTAGAGGGTCCTAATAAATGCTAATGAAATATAACAGCTTTTCTAGTTCAGTTACAGGAAACTTTTAATTTCATAGTATAACTTTGTTTCTTTTGATTCGTATGTATAATCTTGTAATTAAAGATAATAATAATACAGTCAGACCTCTAACATTAGGGAAAATATTTGGCTACAGCCAATGACTAGTTGGCTCCTAGCTTCCTTTAAGTTTTCAAGTCACTGCAGGTCAATTTATTTGGGAATTGAAGCTGTTTGAGATTCAAGATAACTAAAATTTGTATGATTTCCTTTTAGAACATTAACATATCCAGCATTAAAGGTGTTTCTGTCACGGGAAAACGGCCCTCATTTTTGTTTGATTAAATTTGTTTATACTTCTGCATTAATTAATGGTTTTACTCCTGTACAATCATTTTAATGTTAAAACCGGATGTGGTGTAAAGCTAGGCTTAGTGGACTGATGATTATTTTTTTCCATGGCCTAAAGGCTCATTTTTGGTTAAAAGGGATACCACCGTGCAAGGGTTGCTTTTCTTGTTGCTTTAACTTATTTAACATAAAATATAGTTTCTTTAGAGAAATTTGTTTCTAGTTAGTGTTTAGATTCAAAGTGAAATGCTACAAACAACAGAAATAATCTCTTGCCCTCTTCTAATAGAAACTTGAATAGTAAGCAAGAAAAATGAGGAACTCTTTTAATGATTTTTCTTTTTATTTGCATCCTTTTTTTTTTCCTTTTCCTCTAGCCCTCTTTTCTTCCTTAATTTCACACATTCAAGTTCTGTAATAAATTACCCTGTAGACTAAGTATGATGGGTTAACTTGTTCATTTGTTTGCACATAAATGTCATTTATTTAATTTTATATATATATATATATATATCTTCTTATATAACTTGTCATTTATTTAAATCTTTTCTAATAGATGTGAGAGCAATAAAGTTGGTGTGTTTATATTGCAAGTTCAAGTTTACTTGCTTGGCTCTCTGGAAGGGTGTGACATGAAAAGATTGCGGTTGGGCCACATGGCTCATGCTGGACTGTGTTTTTGTGAATGGAGGCAGGACTCCAGTTCTGCCTGCTTGTCTTGAGGAATTGCTGAGGAGATCAGCTGTCTCATTCACGGGCAGAAAGAATGACTCATACATCTTCCGCCTTGTTTGGCTCCAGGTCATTGTTACAGTGGATAGAACTGGTTTTAATTAAATATTAACCCCTTTTATACTTGACATTTGTTTTATTTGTCATTTTTTCACTTTTTTCTGACTTGTTAAATGGACACCCACCATGCACCTTGTTTGTAAGAATAAGGGGACTATTGACTTGCCAGCAGCAATCTTGGAAAAATTTTAAACTCACAACTTTCCTTATGAGGACTATTATTTTATTTAAAAGTTAAAAATAGGCATAAATTAAAGGCAAGCTCTATTTAAAATTACCTGTCCCCAAGGCAGTGTTAGTTAGGAAGGGATATTAAAATTAAAAATCAGAGTTGATGATTCTGTGACATTTAGGTCATGATAATATTTTTGTGAATTTCTTTCCCATAGTACGTACTGCTATGTAGTTAAAAAGAAAATTAAAGAACAACTAAGGATAGTTATCTAGGTAAAGCAAATAGCTGAGAGTGCAGATACTACCCTTTTAAAGCTGCAATCCTGGACTTGATGGCTACTTGTCTATTAATGTGCAATAAACTGATAGGATCGCTCTAGCTATTACCAATAAAATCTACATGCTTAATCTTCCTGAAAGCCTTTTATTGGCCTTTTGGTACATATTTTCTCTCCTTTCTTTTTTTTCCTCTTCCCTTCCTCTTTGATTACATAGTGTGGAGAAACATTTTCATTCCCTGAAGACCATCATTTCAAGCATAGTTTATAATAGATAGTAGTGAAAAACAATTTTTTTAGATTGGGCTGCATTGGTAATTTTCAGCTTTGAAGTTGGTATGGCTTGCAACAAATTTTCAGGCAGCTGTAGTTTTCTTCTTCACAGAATTCTTGTGAATTAAAGAAAAAAAAAGAAGGAAATGTATGATTCGAGTGTGGCAATACTTTGTCATATTTTCCTTGCAGGGATCCAACTTGTGTTTTTACTTAACTGCTTTCCTTTTGCTCCAACTTGAAATTAGAGGTATACTTAAGCCTTTGTCTATTTAAGTAGCATGTGGCTTCATTTGGTCTATTCAGTTTCTTAAGATTAGCTTCTGTGAAAATGTGAATCATGTTTTTTGTTAAAATTCTGTAATACGTTCAAGCGTAAGTGTGAAGTATTTATTCAGTATGTTAAGGAGTTGGAACAGAAATAGCAATTCTTGTTCTTACTCTTTTTACAAATTGTGAGTATGCAGTTATTGTGTGAAGTGTGACTTCTAGAATCTTCTGTCCCTTCGCTATTGACCTTTTTTCTCACACATAACCCAACACACCAACAGGCTCCCATAGAGGACCTGGGTGCTGCAACTTATTTTATGATACTAAGAAAGAAAAATCTGGTCTCTAGGACATTCACAGCAGCCTATTCAGTTACAAATATACTTTTGTTACTCATCAGCTATTTTAAACTATTCCTATAAAGGGATATTACATTTTTACTAGATTCTTGTAAATGTTGGCTTTGTTAAAGCACAGTAATTGCTGTGGTTGATAATGTTGCACCTTGTTAGTTATCCAAACGTGTGAATATCATGGAGAAAATCTTGGTGAATTGATTATTTACTTATTCTTATTAATCAAGCATATATTAAAACACTTGTAATTTTTCTGGTGTGAAGACATTTCAAAGTGTACTTCTCTTATAATTTATGAGTCTATGAGGAAAAATTAAGCTTACTACAGTGTTAAAAACATGTTGCTTGTGACTAAGAGAATGCTAATGTACAAGTCTTAGCTTTCTGGGGTTTTTAGGGTCTCAGAATTCATTAGAAGTAAAGATACTAAACTGGACATCTGTGACTTGAAAGAAAAGGGTAAATGGTAGAAGACTAGAAAACAGAAAACAAGCATCTGTGTATCTGCCATTATGTTTAGATTATTTAATCCTTATCAAAAATGCTTTGTAATATTGTTGTTAAACTTCGGAGCAAAATGGAGTTTAGAGACGTTTAATGACTTACTAAAGTTACACATCCAGCAAGTCATAGATCTATGAGCTGAAGTTTTCCTGACTTTACTATGAGTAACGTCAAATATTAGTGGAATATGAAGAGAAAAATTCTCCCAGGTTAGGTTTGTCAAAAAAGACATCAGTTGTAACTTGAAAATACTCCTATTTTTTTAAGTTTCATTTAGTGGCAGGGATAGTGTGTCCTTTATAAGGTTAGTATTTGTGTGTAGCAGAAATACTTGAGTGTCATACTGCATTTATTGAACTAATAGGCAAGATATTGTATAGTTGTTTTTAAGAATATGTTTTATTTAACTAAATATTTCTGTTTTAAAATAATCTATTAAATAAATTGAGAAAAATAAAATTTTGCTGTACTAAGGATTGAACCCAGGCTTTCACACCGAGATATGCATCCTCTTCTTATTTTCTATATTGAGATAGGGTTTGGCTAAGTCACTAAATTACCCAGGCTGGGCTCAAGCTTGTGATCCTCCTGCCTCAGCCTCCCAGGGTGCTGGGATTACAGGTGTGCTACTGCACTTGGATGTATTCCTTTTTGATGTAGGATTTTTTTCATATAAAATTCTTTTTATGTGGATTTTTCTTAGCCCCTGCAATTATTAGCCTGAAACATTTTTCAACAAACTGATTGTGTTATCATGCCTCATACAGAGTAGGATCATTTTAAAAAATAAACTGGGGTCTGTTTTAATAAGACTTGATTGGATAAAACTTTCAGTATTATATAATACTAGAAAAATAATACTTGCTAATCAGATCATAGCTAAAGTTAATAAGGATGATACTTTATAATACATTTACCAAGTTAAAGTAAGCTGACTTTTGCTTTATATGGTTTATGTATGTGAGAAGACCTATACTGGCACACGTTTTTGAAAACAGGTTAGTTTCATGTCTAACTTGATTGTGATGAATACATTTTAGAAGTGAAAAAGTGGACTTGTGGTTTGATTGCTGCTGAATGCATTAAATCTTTGCTGTTCAGTATTTTTCCTTTACTAAAAATAGGGAAGTCGTTTGACATTAAAACTGATGAAATAGTCATGTTCTTTTGGTTAATGCTGAATAGTTGCCAGGACCATCTTTTACATGAAAAGATGGCATCTGTTTTATTGTTTATTATTATTACAAGTACAATCATTGAAGTGTATTATTTTGTTACATATGTCCCAACTAAATCACAATCCTGCATTTTTAAATCTTTGTAGCATACTTTGGTCAAATTTAGGGTCAAACGTTTTAAATTATGGTATTCTAACTTACAAGAGCTAGCAGTTACCAAAAGCAGTCATTTCTAAAAATGCAGCCAGATGTGTGATACCTGAACATCACTTTATTTTATTTGTGTGTTTATTTATTTATTTATTTTGACATAGTTTTAAAGGCTCGTGTGGTTCACTTAGATGGGCTGCTTAAGCACTGCCAGTGGGTGAATCAAAATCTCTTTTATTCCTTGCAAAGTGAAACCCTGCAGGAAATAGAAATCCTGTAGCTTCTTTATTTTGTGACTCTTTTATTTCCATCTGGCAGGTGAATTTCAGAGTGACTACACCTGCCATATTTCTTACGTATTTATGCATTCCAGATGATATTAATATTCCCTTTCTTTCCCCTCTTATGAAGGACTGCCAATACCATTTAAAATAGGAGCTCATGGACAAATAATTAGAGCTGTGATCTTAGCTTAAGAAGGCCTTGCCTGACAAATGTGACCTGACGTGCCTTGTGCTTTGGCAGTTTCTCTCTTAATTTTTTTATTTTCTTCTTCAGCTCAGGTACCTGACAATGACGAGCAGTTTGTACCAGACTATCAGGCTGAAAGTTGTAAGTATAGTATGAGTCATCTCTTGTATTTTTCTGCGTCTTGTTTCTTTCTTCCTTTCTTTCTCTTTGGTTGGTTTCTGCTCCTAGTGTCTCTCAGTAAGCGGTGCCCACTTCCCTTGAGCGTGCAGTCACAGTCACGCGATGATTTTATTTGTCAGTTTGTGACATCACCAGAGGCCCTGTAGGACCTAAGTAAGGCTTCAAATAGTGGGCAAGGAAAACTGATTTACTTAAAAGATGGTTCTGTTCTCCGTATTTAGTATACTCTCTTGGAGAGGAAATGGTGTGATCCATGAAAGTGCAAGTGTTTACTTCCATTTTGCCAATTTGTTCACAAGGAAAAGTGTAGATGCTGATGGGAGGCAGCAGAGTTAAAATCCATATGAGATTAGTTATTGTATAACTTGTACAATAATCTGGAGCAAACATTCATTGGCTTACTGTGCTATTTCACATTCGTGAACTATCATATGCCTTGGTTTAATTTTTAACCTGAAGTGTTCTTCCTAACACGAATAGAAGGAGCCACTGTCTTCTTTCGGAAACCCTTCTGTGTTCCTCTTTCTGAGCCTTGCTCCAGGCCCTGACTGTCAGAAAATGCATGGGAAGTGACTCATGGTATACTCGCCCTCCTAAATTGCACAGTGAGCATCGTACCCTTAAAATCATAGTTGCCTCCAGGTTTACTGCTGATTTTTATACTTGGCCATTCTACCAGCTAAGTGCAGCTGCTGACCTGAGAAGCCAACAGTAAAGAGAAGGGTACATAGTATTCTCCCCTTTTCCACAGGGGAAGCATTCTAGAATATTCTGCAGATACCTGAAACCATGGATAGCACAAAACCTGTTATGTATATACTGTTCTTCTTTCTAGACACATACATACCTCTGATAAAGCTTAATTTATAAAGTAAGTATAAGTGAGAGACTAATAAAGTAATTAAAAAGAAAGAACAATGATAACAATATGCTCTAATAAAATTTAGTCATTCTTTCTGGAATTTTCCATTTAATATTTTTGCACTCTGGTTGACACGTATGAACTATAATATGTTTTGGTTTAATTTTTAGCCTGAAATGTTCTTCTTCCTGGCTGTAGTAACACAAATGAAAAGAGCCACTGGCTTTTTTCAGAGCCCCTTCTGTGTTCCCCTCACAGATAATAAGAAACTGCAACAAATTAAACTGTCTATAAGTGGGGACCATAGTAGATGTCACTTAGATTATGAAACTGCCTTAATGAATTTTCTTTCTGTTGGTGTCATTTAAATCTCTAGTGTGTTTCATTTTTTTAGACCACTGACAGTATCAGGCAAGGCAATATTAATATCCTGTGACTTACTAAATCCATATTTTTATACTGTAACATCACAAATTCAACATCAAGTAACACATTTGTTCAAAATGTTTTTAACTTTTATTATTTGGAATCCTAGAATGTTGTGGAAGGTTTCTTCTAGATTTTTTTTTAAACCCATGCTATGTATTTTAGTTCAGCTTGATTTTTAAAAAAATATAGTAAAATACGCATAACATAAAATTGGTCATTTTAACCATCAAGAAGTGTATGGTTCAGTGGCTTTAAGTGCATTCTCTTGTGATCTCATCACCACTATTCATTTCCAGAACTTTTCCATCGACCCACACAAAAACTTTGTGTGCATAAAACAATAATTTCCTATTCCCATAATTCCCTAGTCCCTCATTGTTCGGTCATCTTTATTTTTGATCTGAGAAGAGAATTTTGCGTTTTTTTTAAGTATCTGAATACAGATATTTGACATACAGTTTTAAGAAATGCATTCATCAATGGCACAGACCTTACTTAGAGACACTAAAACCATTCCCAGGAGGGCAATGGCTAAGGACAACAGCTACACAAGGCCTCCCTTATGATTAAAGTGTGGGCAAAGAATGGCTGTATTTCCAACATTTCCCTTCCTGTATGGGACTTGAATTCTCCTTCTAAAAGCTCAATCTGTTATCTGAGTGAGATAATTAATCTCATTGAATCTTTTTGCATCTGAAGAAATTAGTAACAATTCCAATACAATACCAAATATTTGGTTAAAACAAACTACCTACAGGTAATTTTTTTACTCCTTTTCTATTGACTTTTTTCAGCCTTTCTTATTCCCGAGTATTTTGTTTCGTTGAACTCTCTCTTCTCTTGGTCAAAGTGATGTTATGCTTTTCCCTTTCTCTTTTTCCTCCTTTGATATCCCACCTTCTCTTTCCACTGGGCTTCTGTGCCCAGACTTTTTCTCCTATTTCACATGCTGCCTGCCAGCGCTGTGCTGTAGAACCCTGTGTGGATGGAAATGATCTGTATCTGTGTCACCCCATGCTGTACCACTAACCACATTGGCCTCAAGCCTTTGAGATGTGGCTAAAGAGACCATAGAAATTAATTGGTAATTTTAGTTCATTTTGCTTGCCTTATGTTTTAGACACCTGTTGGGTACTGGTTGCAGTAATGGTCAGCATAGTTCTCTAGAGCAGTGCTGAATACATTCTTATTTCCAGCCTGATCCTCCCTGAGTTAGTTACCTACTGACTGGACATCCTCACCTGACCCCCCCCGACACTCAGACTCACTCAAATTTTCAACCATATGTTGGTATAAAACATGATGCACACAGCAGCCGCAATCTTGAGTGTGACGCTCCAAAGGCAGTCCAGGCTTAACGAGTCCAATGCTGAAGTCATTATTTTTTCTGACCAATATTTCTCATCTGTTTCTTTCTTTGACTTAGTTCACATGCACATTTGCCTTGAGGAAACTTCTGAATCAACCTTTGATTGGTTTTCTCACCTTCATTTTCCCGCCCTGCCCAGTCCATCCGTTGCAGAGGCATTAGCACTTAAATATCTGAACTTATTAGTTTTCTCCTTAAATTTACTATTGGTTAACTCCTACCTTTTCAGTTGTACAGAAAATTGCTCTATAACCTGGGCCTATCCGTTTTAACTCTTGCCACTTTGACACCTATTCCCTCCCATTCTCTGCACTTTCATCCTTCTGAGTTTTCAGTTCTTCGAAAAGATCATGTTGTTTTCTGCCTCATTTTCAAGTTTTCACTTTGGCCTTGGAAGTTTATGATCTTGCTGTTTCTTACTCAGCTTAGACTTACTGAGGCCTTTCTTCGCCTTTTCTTGCCACCTTTAACCCTGAAGAGTTATAGCTGGACTCTACCTTTGCATCTTGTATTTGTTGTGATAGAAAATCCTAGATCCACGTCTGTCTTTGATACAAATGTGAACTTCATGAGAAGTGGGCGTTAGTCAGGCTTTACGTGTCGCCGAAGCACAAAATGTGAACTTGTCATCAGAATCCTGGTTAGCTTCGTAGTGATTATTTCTTGAGTAGCTTCAAAGTTTTGATTTTTTTTCTCAAGGTGGAACTGTATGGCCATGTTTAAAAATAGTATATATAATGTTAATCTGATAAAACTGTTGAAATAAAATTTAACTACATAGTTTTAGATTGATAAAGTTTTATGGTTTTTAGATTTGTGAATAAAGACCGCTATAATTAATGATAAAAATGTGTCTGGAATAATCTAATAAAAATGAGATTGAGGTATACTTTTTTAAAAAGTTTTCATTGACTATAAAAACTTGTTCAGGTGATGCTGATCAGCTAATTCATGAGAGAAAAAGGGATATTATTTGAAGAGAGGATAGAAGAGTTGAAGAATTCCTGGATGGAAAAGGTTATCAGCTATTGAAATCCAGAGGTTAAGCAGTTTCTGAAATGCATTTTACAAACATTTGATTCTCGTCTCTGAGGATGGTTAGTAGGGCAGAAAATTCCTAACTCTAGAAATAGAAAGAAAACACATCCCCTCACTTTGGGGCCCATCTATAAATTCTGGGCTACTTTTTTCAAAGTGAATAATCAGATTTGATAAGATCCCTGGAATAAAAAGCTTCTGTTTTCAGTTGAGTCCTTGGGAAAATGAAGGCTAGACAAATAATAGTAAAATTCTGTTCAATACAGGATTACACGAAGAATATATGTTTGAGTGTAACCTGTTTAAATAGGTGTAGAAGAATAGAGGACAGGACATTGAACAATTGTGAGAAGAATATTTAACCATAACACTTGGGAACGTTCTAAAAATATTCCTGGACATTTCTTTTTTTATTCATGTATTATTTCAGCAGACTGGGACTGTGCTGTTATACTTTAGCTTACTAACTTTTGAAGAATGCTAAACTTTGAAGCAATTTTGGATACAAGAAACAAATAGAAATAAACAACTTCCTGCAAGTCCATGTCAGGGAAAATTGACATGTTTGTGTACATGGTATTTAGCAATACTTTTTTTAATAACTTAGATGTTGCTGGAACACATGGTATTACTTCAGAATATGCTTTTGTCTGGAGTATTTAAAACATAGATGAGCTTTACCTTTCAGAAGTTGGTACAAATTTGTACATAAGTAAAAATTGAGTTTTTATAAGTAAAATGAATCTTAACTACATCTTATTTTTAGTCATGCATTTTTATATCACTAATAATTTAAAATTTACCCTTTGTTTGGTGCCATAAAATGAGTAGTATTTTTATAATCAACTTGTTTCCATTTGTTTATATTGGATTATAGGGAATCACATGATGGATGAAATTTACATTTGCTTTTTACATTCTCCCAGAACAGTCTCAGGAGTGTAGACAAGGTTATGCAAAACCCCCAGTAGGGTAGATCTTTGTAACTCTATTCTTCTGCACTCAAGAAGACACTGGAGTGCAGGGCAATTAGAATGATAGTATTAAGGAAATAATAAGCTTGACTCTTCTTTAATATATTTATAAAAATAAATATTTTCAAACTTCTGTATTTTGTCTGATATTTATTATTTATTACATGATACCAGTGGACCATCCAAAGATAATCAAGATAAACTGGTGTGTGGGGATACAACTGTTTAAAAGCATTCATTACAGTACATGGCAACATGTTCTTCAAGTAAATAAGTCATAGCTGCACTT